CGCTCAAAGTTGCCTCCGGAGCTCTGCTCGAGCTTCTGTCTGCTGAGTGCGGACGAGGCCACCGCCACGTACATCAGCTCCGCCTGCAGCCTCCGCTCGGTGCTGGCCGATGTCGGCTCCAGCCTGGTTGCGGCGCTGTTGAAGCTCTGCCTCACGCACGCCGACACGATGGCGCTCTTCCACGAGACAATGTTCGCCTGCTCAGCCGAGCAGGCGCGCCGCCTGCTGGACGCCGCCGGCGCGGCATCGTGCAGCGGCGGCAGCATGCTCGACGTGGGCGCCGCCGACGGAGCCACCACCGCCCGCCTCGCGGCGGCGACGGGCGCCTCACGCGTGTGCGTGACCGAGGTGTCGCGACTCAGCGCGCTGCGCCTGGCGGCGCGCGGCTACGACTGCGCCGTCGAAGAGCAGCCCACCGCGTCAGCACGCTTCGGCCTCCTCTCCTGCCTAAACGTACTCGACCGAACGGCGCGCCCGCTGACGCTGCTGCGCCGGCTGAGAGACATGCTCGCAGCCGCGCCGCCGGGAGGCGTGCTGTTGCTCGGCGTCGCCCTGCCCTTCCGGCCCGCCGTCCTCGCCGCCGCCGGCTGCAGCGTCCCTCCGACCGAGCGGCTCCCGCCGCCGCTGCTGCGCGAGAGACGCTTCGAGGAATCTGTGGCGCTCTTCGCCGACCTCGTGCTCTCGCCGCTCGGGCTGAGGGTGTCTGCGTGGTCGAGGCTGCCGTATTTATCGCGCCAGATCGGCGGCGGCGTCGCGGTGCTCGACGACGCCCTGTTCTGCCTCGCGATCGACGGCGCCGCTGGAGAGGGAGGGCAGGGGGCGGGCGCGGCGCCGGAAGAAGGCTAGCCGTTCGGCCGCGCGGACGCAGCAGTGCGCCGGCGGCCCGGCGCGGTCGAGCGCCGGTCGCCGGGGGTGCGTGAGTTAATAAAAACGCCAGAACACAGGGGCGGGGTGTGCTATGTGTCTGCGTCGTCGGTCTCGGCGAAGCTTTTGACGCGCCGTGTTCACTCCGATCTCCGTCGACGACGGCCTATACAAACTTAAAAAAAGCCGTACCACCCTCCCGTAAGTGCTATTAGCACAAACCATGAAATGGGGACCGCACAATCGCTCCGTCGCTCCTCTCGGCCACTGGAGTGACGGGCTAGCCAAACCATTGAAGACGCCGTGTCGATGAGCTTCTAACTCGATCGCGTTCTCGAGATACAGCTTGAGATGTGCGAGTTGGAGTGGCCTCACGGAGTCGGCGCCGCCGCTCGGCGCTCTTCTGCTGGTTTGGCGATCCAGCGCTGCTCGTCCAGACAGAGGCTGCCTCCGCTCCTGCGCTGCTCAGGCCTGGTCAAGGCCATCCACCGGTATGCTCTGGGAGCGCGGATGCACACCAGCTCGCGCTGCTGGACCCACGGTGGCTGCCTTCGGCCACCGGCAGCGCCGGTGCGACGACATGCTGGCGGCGGTCTTCCGCAAACTACTGTCAGGCGAGTGCACGACAAGATATGACCATGGGCGCTCGCATGTGTGCTCAGGGCACCTCAGGGCTGCTGCGTGACGCGTGGCTCGGCTCCGCGAGCGCTTGTGAATTTTCTGTGATTTTTTTGTGCTAATAGCACTTGCGGGAGTTCGTACGCGGCTTTTAAGCGGCTTTACGCGTTTACCCGCGTACGCCGCGTACTTTACGGGGTGTGTATCGATGCCTTGCGGGGGGGCGCGGAAAAGAGGAACCTCTTTGCTCTTAGCGCCATCGCCATGGTGCTGCAAGCAGCGCCGGGCGACGACGACATACCTAGGCCGGTCGGACCCGATTTTATTAAATTTTCAAGTTTAAGCGCAGACCTCAAGACTTGAACGCAAGCATGTTCAGGCCATCTAGAGTGCCGAACAACATCGCACCGGTTCGATTCGCGCATCACGGCCGCGCAAACTGGCTGCACTGCGGCGCGAGGCTCAGCGGGGCGTCCGGACCACTGACTCGGGCGATGTGGTGGTCGAGCGCAGCCTTCTTGAGCTGGAGAGCCGCCGCAGTATGCGCGGTGGATGGGACGTCGGCCAAACCGCGACGCGCAAGCTGCAGGGAGGAGCTACAGCGGCTCCGCTCCTCATGCTGGTTCGCCAAACCGAGACGTTGAGGTCCTCGTACACTCATGTCGCGCCTCGAGTAAGAGCCATCACGCTGCCCAGCGCTGGACCGTCGTAAGGTCCGGCCTTAGGCCAGCTCGCAGCACTGTATGAACTCACGCTGGCGAGCACCATCCCAGGATGAGGCCTTCAAGAGCGCGCGCCAGGGACGTCCGTATGGCAAAATCGGCGTGAATTCGCTATGAAAACGCTTCCAACCCATCAAGAGCGGGCTCAGAAGAGACGATGCTAACCCAGGATCACCAGGGCACCTTAGGGTATCGAAATTTTCCACCCCCCCACCCCCTCCCGCTCCCCCGGCCCGCGCCTCTCCCCCTAACTAACACACCGGCACCACCGCGGACACCCTCACCAAGCCTCTCCCCCCGCCTCGCCGCTCTCGCGGTGCAAGCCGACTCCTGGCGACCGTCCTGGTCAGCGGCCCTTGCCAGGACGGTCCGACCGCCGCGCTCGCTCCGGTGAGCGAGCACTACAGTAGCACACCGCACCTGCACCGCCTGTAGTGGCACCGGCACCAGCCTCCCCAGCCCCGCCTCTCCAACGTCTCACTCGCCACCCTGCTCGCTGCCGCCCCGCCCGTCGCCACTGCCACTAATCTGCCGCTCCGCAGCCCGCTCCACCTTCCCGCCCGCAGCGCCTCCCGTGCCGACGCAGCCTAGAGACAACAGAGCTGGGTCAATATCACCGCGGGAACGCCTCCTCTCGACGTGGGACAGAGCCTTCTCCACAACGTCGAGAGAGCGACGGCCAGCATGGCGCGGCGCAACGTCGCGCGGCAGTGGCCGCAGTGGCTCGAGGCGGGCAGCGCCGGCGACAACGAACGCGGAGCGCGCGGCGACAGCGGTGGCGAGAGCCGAGGGACGTGACTACACCCTCGTGCGCCGTGCGCGCGCAACCTCGTCAGCCAACCACGCGCCGCACCAGCGCCGCGAGCGACGCCTCGAGGCACAACGTGCAGCCGCCGCATCCCCCGCCGCCGCCGCCGCCGCCGCCGCCGCCGCCGCTGCCTCGCTCCGCGGCGGCGGCGCCGCCGCCGCAGACTGTAAGCACCAACAGCCCGCGGCTCGGCACGCGGCGGCCGCCTCCGGCCTGGGGGCGCGTCGGCAGCGCGGCGCGCCACCTCGCTGCTCGACACGCGCCGGACCTGTCATGCGCGGCTGCGCCACCGCTTCCTCGTGCGGCGCCGTCGCCGCCGCCACGCCGGCCGCCTGCTGTGAGCGCCGCGCTGCTCGGCCGCACCCGCCCGTGCCGGCCGCAGCTGCTCTGCCGTCAGCGCCGTCGCCGTCACGGGCCAAGCCGCCGTTGTCGCCGCAGCCACGCCCGTCGGCCTCGCTGCCGCCGGTCCAGCATGGCTGACACCGCCACTACCACGGCACCGGGCAGGGTGAGGCGCTAGAGGGTGAAGGGTGCATAGAGGCGAGGTGAGGCGGCACCTAGGGGCAGTGACCCCCGTGAGCCGGCAAGCCGACGCGCCACTACCGGGCAAGATGGAGGCCGAGCTGCGACCCTCACAGCTCTCGCGGCATGCGTCCAGAGCTCGATTCATCTGCCTCGCCGCTCGCTCGCCGCCTTTTGTGGGACCTAAAGAGAGAGGTTCTGAGCCGTCGGGCGGCGCTGATGGTGGCCCGCGTGGGTGGAGCCCGCGGCAGCTAGGCCGCCTGGGCGCGGGGGGGGTGGTCCGGTGCTTCAGAGGCAGCGTGAGCGACGGGGGGGGCGAAGGATGTGAGGCGGCTCGCCTGCAGCGCCCACCTGCTGGGCCGTCTGGATCTGCGATTACGCCTCGGGAAATGCGAGATCATCCAGAAAATGTCTGCAGACCTCAAACCGATGGCCTCAAAAAGTCGTTGTCAGCCACCGATTTTCCGTGTCGCCCGACCCGCCACCTCACCGGCCCGGCGTTCGGAGGCGTAAAATCTTGGTCGGCCGTTGGGCCGGTGCCATCGGCCGCGGTCGAGTCGACCGTGCCCCGTCTTGGGCACGATGGACATGTGACCGGCTCCGGTCAAGATGTGCCCCGGCATGGCGGATGAGGCTCTCAGGTTGGGCGACGCGAGCGCCGAGAAGGTGGAGCAAGACCTCGCGTCCCCCATGGGCTTGCTCGGTTGGCAGGGTTGGATTTGGGTTCTTTGTGATGCGCCAACTTCAACTTCCGAAACGACTCAACAGGGCCCAAAGACGGGGGAGCGACCGGCCTATAAGACTTACCGCCTCCCGGCCCCCCTCGGCACACCTCCGCTGCTTAATGTTTGACGACTCGAACCCATGAAGCTTCCCCGAGCGCGGGTTACCGCCCGCACACGGGTCAGCCTGCCAGCCACGTATCCACGCAAGCGTGGTCCGCGCGCATGGCATACCAGACAGCGCAGATGCTAGGCGACCGGGGAAGGACTAGCTCAAGGGCAACACAGCGTCACCAGCCGTTGGCGCGCAGAACGAGTCTGCGGCCCCCGGTTGGGACGAGTGCGCGACGCGGACGAACCGCTCAATATGGCCGGCAGCTCGCGCTGCCGGCGGGGTTGGTTGGGGAGAACCGGCACACGCCCCCTGGAGAGGCCCCAAAGGCCCCCTCGGGGGGGCGGGGGCCCCCGCCCCGAGGGGCGGGGGCAGGTTCGTCGCCTAGCGCGATGGAGTCAACCCTTGTTGCCAAGTCGGCGAGCGTGTTGTGTATCGAGAGAGAGCCCATAGCAGATGCGAGAGCGGCGTCGTCCGGGGAGAGGGGTGGTGGGGGAGGGTCAACATCGAGGGCAATTACGCATCGCGCTCCCCGATCGTCTCCGATCTCCCTCGCCTGCTCGCTCGGCGCGTACTCGGACCATATCGCTCGAACTCGGGGGGCACGGCGAGGGTTAGCGACGGGTGCGACTTCAGGGTCGGTGGCGGGCGAGGGGTGGCTGACGGGGCTGGCTGGGGCTGTAGCCATTGCGCATTGGTGTAGCAGGTCCACAGTCGGCGTCGCTATCATCTTCCCTCTCCGAGTCCTGGCCGCCGCCCGTTGCTCCGTGTCCAACGGTGTTGCTGTCGCCCCCCCCCGCGTCGCTTCCCGCGTCGGGAGTGTCCGTCGGGATGGTGTTGTCCGCCCACTCGGCAGCGTTTGAGCCTCTGTCACCCTGCCTGCCGCGAGCAGCTAGCTCGTCGACGTAGTCGTTCCATTTGTTGCCGCTGTGACCCGCCACATGCCTCCACGTCACGGTGTGTTTGGCGCGAAGGCGTTGCCAGAGGGAACGCAGGTTCTCCGCCAGCTGTCTGTTCGTTTTGGGGGTCACCCGCCCCATCATGCATGCCGCCGCGTACTCGCTGTCGGTGCGAACTACTCCGCGTGAGCCCGCTCGTTGCTGTGACGAGGATAGGAGAGCTCGGAGCAGCTCGGCTAGGGCGGTTAGTTCCGCCGTGTTGTTGGTATGCTTACGCGCGCCGAGGAAGGCTGGGTGCGCCGCCGAAGTGACAACTGGCCCGTAGCCCTCGCTCGTCAGCGACGCGCCCTCATCGCCGATGGCGTCGCCCCCGATGAGTACTGCATAGGCCCACCCTGCTTTCCCTAGGTCTTCCGACCCGTCTGTGTATGCCACCCAGTCGGGCGGGCGTCGTTGCGCCTGCTCTGTCAGTTGCTGCTGTGGGCGAAGAACGACCCCTGGTGCCTCGACCATTAGTCTCAGGGCTTGACCCGGCATGCCCCCCCCTCACCCTGAGGCGCTACACAGAGGAGTGCGACTGTGCTCACCGCGCAGCCGTTTGCCGCCACCCCTCGGACAGATTCGAGCGTCTCGGGAAGCTCGCACTCGCCTTCGCTGGAAAAGAAACCTGAGGCGCGCCACTCCGTCTCCCACTCCGCAACAGGCCCCTCCCCCGGCGACGGCTGCCAGCCCGGGATTCGGAGGCGAATCGCCTTCTCCTCGTCGAGAGCTCGGCGGCGGGTGTGGGCGTAAGTCCGGATTAGAGCTCGGCGCGCCTCGTTGTAAATCGTGTCAACTCGCACGTCCGGCGTGTCGTCCGGCGCGAGGAGGGCGTTCCGGTGGCGCCGTCGTACGATGCCTGCAAGTGTCTCAAGCATAATAACGCGAGTCGGCGTCGCCCCAATGCGCCCCTCAGCCATCTGTCTTCTGCCCGTGGTCAGACGGAAACCGGTGATGCAGAGTCGGCGGTATTCGTGGACTAAATGCCCCATGCCCCGTACCTCCTCAGGCTCCTCTAGCACGGCTTCATCCAGGGTCGTGCTTTCTAGAACTGCGCGGAGTACCGCCTCGAGGGTCAGTGTGGTGTATGGACATTCGAGGGCGAGGTGGCGTGTCGTTTCAATCACTCTCACGCCGCTGAGCAGGCCGCACAGGTCGCACAGCCCCCGTCGACGTGGCTTCTTACATCTTCGCGGTCCAACCGGTAGCGCATCAGTCAACACTGAGTACGCCGTGTCCGACGTCGGTGGGGGAGGACCGTGAGGTGTAGCCGTCTTTGTCCGGAGTGAAAAGTCCAACGCTCGTCGATGGCGATGTCCCTGAACCTGCGCCGCGCTCGGCGAACCTCGACAGCGCCTTCGGTGGCATGCAGCTCTTTGCAACAGAAGCCTGGAGAGCAGCTCCTCTGCTGCTCACACGCTCTGCACTGATGGCACAGACTACTGTGCGGCTGCCACAGCTGTGGCAGCGATGGGCGCTCGCCCTCACTTGCCCTCAGCCACTTGTGCTGCGGCTTGTGTGAGCGACACTGCTCGGCGACTGCCGGCACACTATGAGACCATGGGTGTGAGGTTAAACCACGCCACCAGCGCTTGGTCACATCGGCCCCGAGGTCAGATTCTTCTATTCTGTTGATGACAACACTTGTCTACACGCTGGAGCCGAGGTAGGGGGGCCTGGCACACAACCCCTGTGCATCTGCAACTGAGGGTCCTCCCCCTTTTACACGAAGAAGCGCCGCGATCATAAAAGGAAAACGAGCTCATAAAGCCGTATACAACACCCCGCCGCTCCCCTAGTCAACCCCGTAAGGAAGCTCTAGGTGAAAGATCTAGATGAGCAGCTGTGCCGCCTGGCAGGCCAGCAGCAAGCTGCGAGCTGGTGAGCAGCTGTGCCACCACCGCGGCGGTGCGGACCGGTCCATCGCGTATCGCATGTATATGTCGCGGGCGACGCGGCCACGCAGTGCGAGCGCGCAGCGGCAGCGCCGGGACTCGCGCGTGTGAGGTCTCTCTGTGGAGTGAGAGGACTATTTGCTTTTGGGGGCGATAGTACGGTGGTCGGTGTAGTGGTAGGACGCACATAGCTGCACCCCGGCAGTGCAAGCCGGTATAGACAGTAGGCGGCGGCGGCGGCGGCGGTGGTGGTAAAGCCGTACTGGTGGGAGGCACGCTCCGACAGCTCGGTGCAAGGCGCGCGCCTTGCAGCTCAGAGCCACTGCGTGTAGCTGGCATCGCCTCCGTTGCAGCGAGCGCACTCCATCGCGTGCCTCCACTGCACCCCCACCTCGTACAGCAGGAAGAGCGCGCCCAGCAGGATCGTGCTCGAGATAGCCAGCGTCCCGCACCCATCCACAATATTGGACGGGCCGCCGGCGAGGATCACCACGCCAACCGCCACCTGGGTAAGCGAGCGAAGTGTATCTGCGAGGACGTGCGCCAGGCCGGAAAAGAGGTTTAGCTCCGACTTGCGCGAGACGCTGCAGACGGCGCCAAAGGGCGACCCCTGCAGCCGCGCCGCGTTGCCGCGGAAGAAGATGGCGCCGAGCATCGCGAGGTCGGCGAAGAGCATCGCGAGCCCAAAGCCGAGAACCAGGCGGCCGTCCACCTGCTTCTTCGCTCCGCCCTCGCGAAGGTCGCCCAGCGCGTCCGCCACCGAGTAGGCCGTGACGAGCAACAGCGCCACCGCCGAAACGAACGGCGCCACCAGCTTGCAGGCCCTCCCTGCCGACCTTACCTCTGACGCGAGGTTGAGTCCGTACGCACAGACATCGACACACATCGCGAGGCCATCGCTCAGCAGCGAGGACGAGTTGGCGAGCAGGGCTCCCGTCAGCTGCGCCGCCGTCCAGAGCGCAGAGATGCCCAGCGCGGTCCCCAGCGCCCGCACGTTGTTTGGGCGCGAGGCGTCCGCTCCAAGCATCGGCTCGGACACACCTTCCGGCAACGTGCGGCCAATCCGCAGCGCGACTGGAGCAGCCGCAGGCGAGACCAATATAGATCTACAAAATCCAACCAAAGCGGGAAGCGTGCTCGTTCTGTGCGAAGAAAAGAATTTACACTTCGAACTGAAGAAAGGAATTTTACACAAACTCCCTCGCACGACACCGGGTACGGGACTGGCACCGCAAAGGCGACGGCTTCGAAGCCGTCGCCCTCACAGATGCCGTCCTCCTCACAGAAGGCGTCGTCGGACTGGTAGTCAGGCGGATGGTCGAATCCGCGAGCACCGTGGTGCTCGCCGAGAGGACCATCCCCATCATCCTCCGACTCTTTTACAACAAAAGGCGGTCGCACGACTCGCCTGTCGCGTGATCCGTGATGCGTGAATCGTGTCGTGCGAAGAAAAGAATTTTCACTTCGCGACGTCGCCGCGAACGAGTGGCCGAGGACCCCGTGGCCACATACTGTTCTGGTCACGGCTGATGAACACGGGCAGGGTGCCCTCGCGAGAGTGTACAAGAAGGCGGTGGCCACGGCGGAGGCGGGCGGAGGGGTAGTGATGGTCGTCCAGGAGGCGCCGCGAGAAGGGGACCCGACCCGAAGTCCTGCCGTGCCTATCAGAGCCTGGGTGGCAACGGGGTAGCAGTGGATGCGGTTCTCTTCTTCCCGGCCAGGACGATCGCCTTTGGTCACGCTGCAGGATGGGCCAACGCCACGGAGTCGGCTTACGCGAACGAACACCCACGCGTGGGCAGGGGGGGGAGGGGACCCTCTCCGCCCGCCGAGATGCCGCCGACCGGGAGTGCTCCGCCGTCACAGCCGGCTGATGAACCCTCGAGACGTCAGAGTCCTCCTCTTTGCGTCGAGGAGGGACGACGTGGCCAGGACGGTGGGCACCGAGGCGCTACGGCGGCTTGCATTCGTGGCGGGTGGTAACGGGGGGGCGAGGGTCAGGCGCACCGACCAGATGGGCCCCTGCGTGGTATGGGGGCGGGGTCCGGCGGACGCTGGCGTGGACTGCGCAGACGTGTTGTGGGGAGGTGGACTTCATGGCACCATGGAGGGTGGTGCGCTGGCAGCCCGACTCCCTGTCATTCCTACCTCTGTCAGACAAGGTTGTGGGGGGCGGGGAGGAGGCGAAAGACGCGGCGGCAGCGCTGCAAGCTCTACACGAGCTTGCTGGAGCGGCCCCGGAGGAGGCCGTCCCCGACGGGGCGGTGCCGGCCGCCCTCCCCCGATTCCTGCGACTAGTGGGAATGGCGGAGGCGGAGATGGCGGGAGCGCTGCTCGGGATGGAAGGAGGCGCCCTGAGGATGGTGGCTCGGGTGGCCAAACAGCGGGCAATACAAGTGACGCGCCACTGGCAGGCGGTGGGGATCCCTCTCGAGTCGCTAGGGACGGAGCGCTTCCCCACGCTAGCCGCCTAATGGCGCCTCGAGTTGCAGGCCGGCGGCGCTGGCGTTGTCGTGGTCGGGCTGCCCAACGTCGGCGCGGGAGGGAGGGGGCAACGCCGTTATGAAGAGCGCGAGAGCGAGCGCCGAGAGGGCCCAGATTCTGACTGAGCAGCAGCCCGCCTGATCATGCAGCCCACTTGATGAATTCCGAAGTTTGCTCTCCGACGCCGTGCCGAGCGAAACCTTTTCCTTCGAAGCCCGGCGACGTAGCCGGGCGAGCAGAATAGGGCAGCCCTAAAGAGCACCTCGAGGCCTTCAATAGAGCCCGTGTTATAGTTTCACCGGTTCGATCGCCGGCCGGCGCAGTGCTGACTGGGTTGTTGTGCGGCGCCAAAAGCGTCGAAAATGTCCCAAAAAGCGTGTCTCGACTTTGTTGCAGCTCCGCAGCCTGCGCGCGCTGCCGGGACGCACCGCTTGCTGGATACACGCACTCCCTGGGTGTATCCAACAGGAATGAGTAGGTTCGACGCCGCGCTCGCTGTGGAGCTGCAGAAAGTACGCCGCCGAGCGTGCCACCGAAGGCGTCCCGTCGGAGGTGGTGGAGTTTGAGACCTGAGGCTGCGGAGGTGACGCCTGAGGTACCGGCCCGTGTACGGCGACTCAGCAGGCGACCGCCACGGGCTCAGACGAGACTTGTCGACTCGTTCCGGCTCAGCTTCACCGTGGTCATCGGGCGTCTGTCGACGTCAGGACCACCCATACAGCTCGCGGGTTTGAGGTCGCAAGAGCCAAGATGGTGGCGTTTGGACATCCCAACCATCACACAAGACAGCCTGTAGGTGATGGCGGGACGGCGCAGTGTTTGTGGCACTCGGCAGTAGGCACCCGCGGCACGGCCCCGCTGTCGGCTCTCGCGGGCTGCGGAACCGGCCCCAGAAGGGGACGGTCCGGGCGAGTGTGGCATGGTCGGGTCATCATTAGAGCTGCCAAGGATAGCGTCAGGAGCTGGTAAAGTAGGAGTCAAAACCCCTCATATTTGAGACATCGCGTGGGGCCCATACGTCAGTATAAAGTAGCAATATTACTCCGATACCTAGGTACTCCGTCGCACAACAACCCTGCTCTGACCGCGCTCCGCCGGGCCGCCGCCGGGCCGCCGCCGCGGAGACGCTGAGACGTGCACATAGCGACGAGTCACCCGGAGACACGACTTTCAGTATCAGTACTCAGACCTCAGAGGCCCACAGCGACAGTCCACGCACACACCCCCGCGCGCCGAAGGCGTGCGAGACGTCTCGGAGCGAGGGCGGAAGGTGCAGCGTGCCCAACACACCTCGAAGCGCTCCGCGCCGCTCCCGGCCGATGGAGGAGGCCATTGTCCGCGCATCGCGCCACGCGGCTTGCCGTGCGAACACAGCCGCCTCCGTCAGCTCTCCCGATCCTTCGTGTTTGTGGGTCCGACCTACACAAAACGCGCCGCTCTTCATTCGCCGAGAGTGGCCGAGATTGCGCCGTCACGGCGCGATCTCGAAGTCGAGAGCGTGGGGGGCTGCAGGGGCTCCGCTCGGCTCTATCTCTCCGCTGCTTGCTACTCGCATACTGCGGACCCACAGCTCGATCACGAGGGATTGGCGCATGCCGCTCGTCACCGTCGCCACGTTGTGCGCCTGCGGTGTGAACGAGCGGCGAGTGTCTTGCACCCGATCGCAGCCCGTGCCGCAAAACTCGGCGGATCTCGGCGGATCTCGGCCTTGCCCGAGTGGAAGAGCAAGGCATCGCCCCGCCTCAGCTCGTGCACGACCGGCTCCCCGCCTGTCCGAGATGAGCCGAGATGAGCGAGGATTCAGATGCGCGACCGGGTTCTTGCCTGCCGAGGCGAGAGCGGTGTGGTGCAGGGAGCGAAGCGCCTCGCTCGGGTCGCAGAACGCCGCCAAGTGCTTCTCTATGGGAAGCCTGTGTGTCCTCGAGTGTGTCCAAGCTGCGTCTGAGCCAAAGACACATCCGTCACCTGACCACGTGACGATCTGGCCGCCCTCCAAGCCGGTGGTCGCTGCGTCGGAGAGGAGGACCGACATCGACAGCTTGGAGCCGTTGTCGCGGTGGCCCGGCTCCAACAGGCCTATCGGCGAGACTAGCCGAGATGAGCCGAGATGAGCCGAGATTGGAGACGTTGTTCAGTGGCGCACGCGCCTCCGCCGACGGCGTAGGTGTGCAGCTCGATGCAGCGGACCTGGAGGGCGAGGGCCGGGTCGCCCCAGTTGCCGGGCTGTCTGCGCATTGAGTGCAGCAGCTTGTCGCAAAGCGCCGGCTGCTTGGTCTGGAGGTAGCCGCCCTTGTGGAGGTACAGCGCCACGTGCTCTCCCGAGTAGCCGATATCGTGCGGCGTGGCGCGAAGTGCGGCGCACAGCCAGCTGCTGGTGGCGAACGGCTCAATACTGCTGCCGACCTCGCTTCCAGCACTGAAGCACTGCTTCACCTCCTCGGGTGAGAGGAGCTGCGGGATGACGAGCGCGGGAAGGGTCTCGGGAGATGGTCGGCCGAATACGAGCTCAAACGCCTCGGACGGATTCGCGGCGGCGTAGTCGCGCGCCCAGTCCTGCGCACCCTCAAGGCCTGGAGGCAGCGGGGCCTCAGCCATTATGCAAGTGGACAGCCAGTGTGGACATGAACTGTATCGTCGTCGTCGTCTCTAGCCAGTCACTCAAACTCTCAGAGATTGACCCAACATAGAGGGCGTTGTGTAGCCTAGCTTTTGGGTAATAGAAAACTCTCAGAGATGGACGTAGCGTACCCGCAATTGACGCTATAAGCTGTGGTCCGCTGTTTTCACGGTGCTCAGGCTGCCCCCCGGTTAAGATCTCGTGCAAAACTCTTTTCACCACCTTCAAGTACACCCCCAAGACTTCCCAAAACCGCCCAGGATGAGCTCCTGAGGTGCCAGTCTGCCCGAGATATGACCGGTTTAAGTTGGGGTTCCACGGTCAGGATGGAGGTGCCGAACCCGATGGGGGTCAGCCAGGGAGGCTGTTGTGGCGCACCGGACCGCCCCCCAGCACCGTGCCCCACCCAACTGCATCCATGGGAGTCACAAACGGTGCTGCACTCGCGGCTGCAAGCACTCACGACACTCAAACCCACCACCTGCCTCCTACCCTGTACGAGGAGCCATTTCACCCGTGCAACATCTGCACAGGTGTACCGCCGACGCTCAAGCGCCCGGCCCCTACTAGAGTAGTCTTGGGGGACCCACAAACGACCAATACATCCACTCGGGGCTGCAGCATGTGTCCGGGGGCGGCATCCCCGTGAAGCAGCCAGCAGGTGCCGGACACGGCGTTGGCCGTCTTGGACCGAGATCAGGGCGCAACTGCCTACCTCGTGGGGCTGAAGGACCGTCATGGGGTCGGCTTTGATGCTGCCAATCAGTCGGGTCGATAGGTGGCGCCCCAGCGAGATGCGTCGCGGGTGCTCGGCGTCGCCTGCTTGAGTGGCCTGAACGCACTCGCGGGAGCCAGAGAGCAAAGGTGTGCGCGAATTGAGGCTTCTGAGCGAGTCCAGGCAAGCCACAGGACCGGCCATGTGCGTGGGTAGTCGAGCGGTGGCCGGAGGAAGCCTCCAGTAGTGGCTCTCAGTTCGGCACCTCAGTCTCGACCACAGCTTATTCTGACTCGCCAAAGAAATCTGACTGCGACGCCGAATTTGTAACAAGCGCTGCGCCGGCGCCGCGCCACAGCTTGCCGAGCGCCGGCCACAGGCCTGCCTGCAGCCCAGCCACACTTGCCGCGGCGGCAGCTAGTCGGTTCGGCCTTGACTCGCGCGCGCCGAGATGGGAGCCCAAGTATGTGAGCGCGCGGCGCGTCGACACGCCTCCGCTTTAAAGAACATCCCCTCCGGCTACGACAATGTGAACCTGATCTGGTCCTCACGGGGTTGACCCGTCTCCTCCGGATCGAGACGGACTTCATGAACGGCCGAGCTTAGGTGACCCCTAGGGACGCCGGCGCCTCGGTGCGTGGTTTCGTCACAATTTTCCACCGCTCAACTTGGAGGCAGTGTGTCTAGTAGCGTGCTACACCTGGCGCCGACGGCGCTCCTCTTTCTTTTTCCAAAAAGTTTTTATTCTTTTAGAGGGCAGTGACGGAGAGGCAGCAGCGACGGCGACGTGGCGCCGGCGGGGGTGGGGACGGTGAGGGAGGGGGGGGAGCGGCGACGGCGGTGGTCAGCGAAGACGGCGGCGGCGTGGTCAGCGGCGGCGATGGTGGAGGCGGTATAGGCGGTGTTGAGAGGAGCGGCGGAGAGTGAGACGACGATGACGGCGGCGGCGAAGAGGGTGGGTGTGCGACGGTAATGGCGAGGGCGTCTGTGGCGAGGGCAGCGGTGACGATGGTGGCGGGCTCGCAAGAGGAGATCTCTGGGATGGCGGAGATCGTGACGTCGGTGTTGGAAGGGGCGAAGAGGGCGGCGGCAAGGGCGGTGGCGGTGGGGAGGGTGGCAGGTGGAGAGAAGTGTCGGGATGAGCGATGGTGAAGGCATGGAGGAAGTACGCGAGAGAGATCGGCGGAAGTGGAGGTGTGGGTTGCCGCTACGTTCCTAAGATAGCGACAGTGATTTAGTGCTGATAACGGGACTGCGATACGTGTGCGCGTGGTGTGTAGGCGTGTAGTCTCAGGCCTGTCAGCGCGGCGCGGCGTTTGAGTGAGGTGGGGCGGGATGGCGAGGAGAGAGATAGTGTCAGTAGCGGAGGAGGGTGTTGGGAGGCCGTCTGAGTCTAGCTCGGCGCTGCCGTCGGTCGCGAGGTCAGTGACGTATGTTGAAGAAATCTCGGGCACGGTGGGGTCCGATATGATTATCATTGGTGATGAATGACAGAGGAGATGCGGGTTTCGGAGGTATGGATCACTAGTCGTTGGAGATAGCCGAATGATCACGCGCGCGTGCAGGCGAACAGGGTAAGGGAGGCACCTTTGCGACGCCGCGAATCCAGTCGATCTGCGCGCACGGCGGTAGAGCGAGGGTCGAGTCGATCGGCGTCCAGATGTCGTGCTGCAGGTACTGAAACGGCGCCTCCGGGTCGCAACGGCTCTTGTGGTGCGCGTCGCGTACCAGTGGTGTGACGTTCTGAAGTCGGCGTAGCTGGTGCTTGATTGATTTGTAGCTGCGGACACCAACGCGTATCTCGTTGATCTTTGCGCCGCTCTGGTACGTGTGAAGCAGAAGGCGGTCCTCCTCGATCGTCCACGGAGTGTAGTTTGAGCTCATCGACACGTTTTTTCGCGCGTGCAGCTTCACGAGAGCGTCCTCGACCCACGGTTGCAGGCTGATCTCGGTGCTGTTCAGCTGCGTCTCCGCCTCGTCGCGCTCGTCGCAGGATCCACAGATCAGTCGGAGGTCGTCGAGAGCGTCGAGTCTTTTGAGAACCTTTTTCCATCGCCACTTGATTGCATCTTTGCTTCGTTTGGTGGCGGATTCAAACGGCCACTGCTCTGCCACCTTTGGCAACGAGATGCCGTCTCGAACGTGGCGCAGCAGCACGAAGGCATCCATCTCCGGACGCCACGGGACGGCGCTGTGCTTCGATCGGCCGGATGCGTGGACGGCCATGAGGCTGCGACGCAGAGCATCGGGAAGAGGGGAAATGTAGTCCTCTTGCACCACTGGGTCGGACGAGAAGGGACCGCCGTTCATGGCACCGAGAGCGTAGAGGAGCAACCTGTGCATCGCCAGCACAGAGCCAGCACGTGCCTCGAATCGGTGAGGGGATCGTGGCGGCGATCGCTGGACGTGTCCCTTCGACGGCGAACTCCACCCCCTTGGGGCTTTTGGAAAAATGCTCTCCAGAAGACTTGAGTTGTAAAGAAATCTGACTGCGACGCCGAATTTGTAACAAGCGCTGCGCCGGCGCCGCGCCACAGCTTGCCGAGCGCCGGCCACAGGCCTGCCTGCAGCCCAGCCACACTTGCCGCGGCGGCAGCTAGTCGGTTCGGCCTTGACTCGCGCGCGCCGAGATGGGAGCCCAAGTATGTGAGCGCGCGGCGCGTCGACACGCCTCCGCTTTTGTAACAAAGTCTGCTTGGCTTGTGCAGGTGATGCCCAGAGCTGCAGCGGCGACGCCGGCAGCCTCGTCTCGACCTCAGAGGCTGCTGGCGTGACCATAGATCTGTGCTCTATCCGTCGGTGGTTCACCGTACACGCCTGTGTAGGAGCGGCTCTCGCGTCGCTACGCGCCGCCGAAGGCTGTCTATGAGGGCACACCCGAGGAGGCGCGGATCTCAACCTGCGTGCGGCGGTGACCAGGTCACAGGCATCGGCTGTGACACTGGAGAGTCGAGCAGCGGCACTGAGGATGCCTTTCAGGTCATTCCAGCGACCCACGGAGCACGGTCTCAGTGCGCAATCACTCTACTAGATCCCATCCTTGCCGGGCCTCTGCGAATGTAGGTACCGAGTTCATGCGTGCCCAGTTACAGGCTCATACTGCCTGGTCTCCAGCACCTATGATCACCGCGCCAGGCCGCAGTCGACGACTTTTGTGTGCGCTGGCCGCACTCAACCGTTGAGTCGCGGTGTATCAGCCTGACCACACTCGGGACCGCGTAGGCGATGTGGGCGACTCTGGCCGTCCTGCATATGACCGACCATGACCCAGGAGGAGTCTACACGAGACATGTCGTACCTGGCAGGCGCTCTCGCGGCAGCACTATCGCGTGCGGCCGAGTGCGAGCTTCCGTGCCCGGTGCCAGACGCACTCGGCGCCAGACGTCCTCGGGAGCTCGCAGTTTTGCCACGGCAGTTGCGATCCGGGCGATCAGAGAGCGCCGGCAGCTCAGGGGATCTTGTCTGCTCACCTGAGGTCGGGAGGGTAGCAGCGGCGAGGCCATGCGCCAGCGTGAGCCATCCGTATTAACGGTTGTTACAGATTAGTCAGATTTGCCGTGACCGCGTTCCGAGGTCACGATTTCGGCGTTCTCGTGTTGACCACTGTGGGTGTGCCTGGCACTTCTGGATCATGTCTCTCGGTGTCCTAGCACCCCCAGGCGATGGGTTTCACGGCCCCGTACCGCATGGGGCGCAAGGCCTCGCGCCGCGCGTGTGGTTCAAACTTTGTTACAACCCAGTCAGAATAGCGTCAATTAGGGGTACGCGGAGAGAGAGAGAACCCCCTCTGTTTTCTCCCAGTAAGCTAAAAGTACGTACGCGGAGAGCTTAAGGTTCTTCGGGCCAGTTGGGGGGGGCAAACCCTGCCCGGCCCCTAGGACCCCAGGTAAGGCCCAGGTGTGGCCTAGGGCATCAGAAGGGACCAAGACGGGAGTCCAGTCTGAGCCATAGAGCGCCCATGTCTTTGCCCCCGAAGGTCGCGTTCAAATGCCCGGAACGGACGTTACAGTGGTCCGTCCGGCCGGCGCGATCACCGAGCTGTGACGCTCAGGGAAGCCCGATGAGGTGCTGGTTTCTTTGCCCAGGGCTGGCCTTCCCCCCAGGCTGGATCAGCTGAGCAAGGTTTGGGGAGAATCCTATAGTAGGATCTTCAGATATTCTGACGGATGACCAAAA